TCTCGTTTGCTTTTGGTCACTGCCAGGCAGTAAAGGCTTACAAATGGTTTCGGCTGTTGTAATGCTTGGGGCTTTAATTTTTTAGGTGCAAATAGTCAATTACCTTGTGTACATCTTTATATCAGATTTTGTATGGTAAGCTGAAACCTCGAGCCGAGTCTTCTTTTTTCAATCTCTTATTGGATTTCTTATTCATTTTTAGATTACACTTCATACGACGATTATATGTCATGTATTAATATCATGTAATAGTTATGTATGTTTAGTTAAATAAATCAATAGTGCATCACTATTTATTATTATTTTTCGTAAAAATTACATACTCCAAATATTTTTTTTCTAAAATAATATGTACAAATGGAATGAAAATCTTTGCTGCATATTAAATTGGCGTTTCAAAAAAATATATTTTTTGATTATAAAATTTCATTTGGAATTTATTAAAGTTCAATCCGTTTCGTGCTAGACTCGCTGTAGAGTCACGTTATAATTCTGAAGTCACGAAATTCCGATCTTTTGAAATTACTTAGTTAAATTGACTTGTTCTAACTATAAAAAGTTTAATTATAATTCCACATTGATGGAGAGATTGTTTTATAAAAATCAAAAAAATAAATTTATCAAATTAAAGATAAATATTAGCCGAGATTAATGTTTATTTATTAATTATTTTTTTTTTTTAAAAAAAAAAAATATTAGAAACTAAAATGTATATATTTAGAAATTTATAGATTAAAACTTTTGACAGCTCAATTTTCTAAACCCGGCAATATTTTGTTTATGTTATTAAATTAAATCAGCAAATCGGAAAAAAAGTTACACGAGATTATCATTATTTACATATGATCATCCAACCATCAAACATAGTCCTTTAGGCCTACAAATCGATAGCAACGAATTTAATCATCAAAAATATGCTGGCGAATTTAAATATATATGAAAATTTTTCTGTAGAATACAATATCGATTTTGATTTTATGTGATGTTGTAATGATAAATGGTGCTTGTTTAGATGTTGCTCATCTACTGTACAAGCCTTTGCTTGGATATGGAGGTTTTATCTTGGTAAGAAAAATGTTTTATTCCTTAAATCTAGGAAATTTGCGACTAACATTTCTCTTGATGATAGGAATTGCACCGGTTGGTGTTAAACTGAAACATGATATCAGTGCAAGATTAAAAGATTCCTTATTCTTAGCAAATACTTTTTACGAACTTGAGGTACATTTCTATTTAAAATTATGCTGCGTTATAAATGCGATATTAATTAATACTGATAAATGCCTATTTAGTTATCACAATATTTACCGCCTAAAATCCTGGTGAGTATCTTCTAATTTCGCAGTAAAATCTAATCATTTGCCTAACGTCAATCAGGAAATTGATCCAGCGTTGCTGGATAAATCTTCGCCGCACACACGAGAACTTTCATCGGTTATAAAAGAATTTTATCGTGAACCTTGGAACAAACAATTTTCAACGCTTAAAAAAACGACTTTCTTTTACAATGATTCATTGAAGCAATTAAAAAAAAATATCATCAACGGTGTGATTTGGTTTGGTCAGTCATTATCCGAAACAGATTTCTCTGCCACATGAAAATTTTTTTTAAAAAAAAAAGATCTATCCAAAGTTTTAAAAATTATCATCTAATTAAAGTATAATGGCAATGGATGTCATAGCGTTCATTTAAAAGAATCTAGCAACTGAAAATTGATTTTTCGATCAATTAAAAATTCAGATACGGAAACTTCTGGAATTTATCTGAGACTGAAATATAGAGGTATAATTTTTTTTTAGATGACCTCGAAAATTTTAAGGTGATTTCCTATTTTATCTGAAATCAGAAACATTTATACATATATAACATTATCTGAATATTTACTAATTCGCCAAAATTTATACAATTCAGAAATTTAGAATGAGGTATATACAAGTGCATTTTTATTGTTTATACCCAATTTATTTCTAATTAAAATGTATTTTAATAAGCTAAAAAAAAAAGAAAAATTTTAAAAAATTTAAAAAAAAAAAAAATTGATTGAGCAATATCTGCGGTTCATTTATACTCATCAAAATTTGACAATTCCATTACACGAACTTTGGCTTCTCATTCCCTTAGACCAATTTCACTCATCAAATTACGATGTTGACTTTATAAAAGACTTTATTACAATCATTCTCGGACAATATTCTTTATCTTGCTTGGGATTTCACGCTTACATTTCGTAGGAATTTAATTTGAATATCAAAACTAATTATAAAAAGCTGCAACTAAAGATTTTTTCAAAATTATTAATAAATTAACTTACCTTTAAAGCGTCCGCAACATTGTAAGATTCTTTCCAAGCGTCATTTATAGTGGTATGACAATTCATTATATAAATATTATAAGGTCGATGAAAAAAAAAAAAGTTTTATGTTTGAGAAATATTTATTATAGAAATAAATTTGTAAAATCGCGTAATAAAATTAAAAACTAGTGACTCAATATTTGCTTGATAAATACAATAAGTAACAACAATATTTTTTAGAACAAATATTCGTTTGCTATTAAAATAGAATCACGAGACATAAATTTTTGAATAAAAGAAAAAGATTTAAAATAGATCAAGGATAAGTGCACATCTTCTCGTAGACACATCCAATCTTATCACCAAGGATCTTTTTAAATTTGTTCCACTCACAATATTCCCCACAATCCGGAATATAAAACGGTTTAAAATCGAGTAAGATTCGTATGTATATGTGATCACCGGAACATTTATAAATTTCGAAATAAAGCGTAGAAGACCAGTGTATGAGCTGCCATTCTGAATATACGACGTTTTGAATTTGTTCAAAGGTTAAATCTCCCGTGAGTGGGAAATCGTTTTTAAATAACCCCTGCAATTAAAAGAACATATATCGTTACATGAAATGATAGAATAAAATAAAAAAAATGTATGAACATGCAATAAATTTACATACGATTGTAGTAAGCACCATCGTCATAGTCAAACCATGAGTATTCTTTAGATCAGCTATCACGGTAGAATTCCCATACAAATAACCTTCAACTCCTTCAACCAGTCGAGTAACATATCTACAACCAATTCGTAAATTAAGCGGACTACCATATGAGAATCGATAATAAAAGTCCAGCTCCCAATAATATCGTGATAATAAAAGTTCTTTAGGACTCAATAAAGAACACCATGCATCGGTTCGATTATAAACAGTGAGCCAAAATTGGCAATTATTAAAAATATGTGGTACTAGACGTGCATCAAGAGGTGGACTAATATGATAATCTTCGGAAAGTCTCTTGGCAATTGGTGCCAAAGTCTTGTTACCATATTCATAGACTTGTTCGTCATGTAATGTATTATTAGAACCAACAGTCTCGTTCCAACGTCGACAGGAGCTAAACGGACTTAATTCGGCGTCTTGATCCTAATATAAGAGGTGTAGTATGTGTAAAAGATATGAACGAAAAAAAAAGATCATGATAAATGGCGCAGTAAATTTACCGTTGGTACATTCCAATAGAAAATAGGTTGACTTTTACAAGTGTCTAATGGCCCGTAACCATTGAATAATCCTTCACTAAAGGACATTATCGACGCACCGGTTCTTAAATAGGAATACATAAATCATCAATATATATTTGTGTTTGTAGGAAAATGATGAAAAGTGGTGCGAAAAATAATACCTTGAAGTTTGAGTACTCTGAAATTTTATAACCTCTGGATCATATTTGACTCCATCCCAAAACTTTTTGTACCTTTTACGACATTGTAAACCGTCAAAATAAGGTTCGATTTCCCCTCTTTTGATTAATTGAAAATTTTTCCTCATTGGGAAAGGATTTTTGTACTAAAAATTTTGAATAACAATGATAAAAAACTCTTCGTTAATGACGAACATATTTTATTGAATTTCCATTATTAAAGTGAGCTTTTTACCCATTCTTTCGCAACAGAAACGTTAGAAAATACTTTTTCCAATTCGTCAAAAATCGTAATACTAGTTGGATCTGGCCATCTTGATCCTATAAATTAATTTGTTCGTGATTGATTATTTTATGCTGTTAAATTTGAACAGAACAATTTGCATGAAATAAGAATTACCGTGTCTAGTAAGAAGATTTAATTGTTTTAATTCACATTTATCAGGATAACTTATGGGTTTGATGTCAAGTGAAAAAGCAGTTTTCGCTGGTTCAAGGAAAAAAAGCTTGTTATTGATAAGATAATCTCGAGTATAATTGTATAAAACGCATAGCGCTGGGTTATAGGAAATAAATAAACTGAAGACAAATAAAGAATATACAATGTGGTATGTAAACCGCATCTTTTCTTAATTAGTACCCTTATTTCCTCTTTTTTTTTAAAAAAAAAAAATGCTTTTTTTGACAGTTTATATTGAATCTTGGGAGGATTTATAGGAAAATCAGGTTCCGAGAAATTTTGACTAAAAATAAAAGAGCTTAATGCATTTTAATCCCCGGAACCTGATTTTCCTTGCAATCAAATGGGTTACAGGCAAGCAATAGCGGACATGCTTATATCACCATGTCGATAATTTTACCGATCATATAATTGAATTATCACATTATATAAAGCTTCGGGCGAACATTACAATTTATAAAATTAGATATTTTGTATTATGTATAATATATTTCTAAAACAATAAATCAAGATCAATATTTTACATAAGTTAGCTTAGGTTTGAAATAAATAATTAAGTAATTTACATAATAAATTAATTATTTTAGACTTCAAAGATTTGGGCAAAGTCACATATGCAAGGGCGAACTATGCCGACCATTATATTTCATATATTAAGTTATGTAGAAAATAATATAAAAGTATTACATAAAATTTTAAACAACTCAAAAGTTAGCTTTGAGACAACTTTTTGAATATTTCATATATTAAATTATTTATCTTCAAAGATTTGAACAGAGCCTCATATGCATGGACGAACTGTGCCAACCATTATATTTCCTAGTTTAGGTTTTATAGAATATAATATAAAAGTATTACAATAAAATTTTAAACAACACAAAAGTTAGCTTTGAGACAACTTTTTGAATATTTCATAATTATATTAATTTTGGCAAAATGTTGCTTCTAGTATAACTTACCCAATAATAATTTAATATGTTATTTCATTATATTAAAATGCAGCTACTTGTAAAATTTAACATATATTATTATGTAGGATTTCCGATCGGAGCATTTTTATATGTGATAAAATGAATAAATGATCAGCAAATTGATCGGCAAAATGTGATAAAATTGAACATGTCCGCTATGCTGTTACGAGCATAGTAAATCGTATGATCCGTAATGTGGTTTTAATAGCTTACCTCCCATATAAAGTCTTTGGCGTTTTCCTTAGACAATATTGGAAATGAATATGATTACAATATAAGGAAAAAGAGTATGGTAGTATGGACATTTTAAAAATAATAATCTCTAATTGTATGGAAAATATACTTACCCGATTTTAACGTTTTGTATGGAAAGTTGGATATCCAGAAACTTTTTTCACATCAGAATTTAGATTTAATCTGTATCTGGTCCATTACTTCATTTTTTCACATGAGACCCATACAGTAATTGAATTGATCGGCTCGGCATTAATTATAATCTTTTTTTAAACCTTAGGTTAAAAATTATCGGATATCATCTAATAAACGAAAAAGTAGGTTCATTAGAAATACAAAAGTGCCTATTTTTAAAATTCAATAAATTACAACATAAAATTAATAATTCCAAGGAATTAAGCTAATATATGTTATTTCTCTAAAGAATTGTGTGATTAAAGCAGCAAAAGGAAGAAAATATAAGTTATTTTAATAATTTCTCATGAATAAAAAAATATTATTATTTAGATTGTGAAAACCATTTCTTATATAAATACCTTTGGTAAAACAATACCATAAAATTTCCTAATTTCAATAAAGCAATCAAATTTTGGATCCAGAGAACCCATCATTCACTGAAAAAAAAAATGTTTTGAAATTTAAAATTAACAACCGATGATTCTTTAGTCGTTAATGACTCAACGAGAAATAAAATAACCTGCGAAGCTGAATTTTTGTTATTGTACTCGACAGTATTACAGTATTAGTACAGGCTTTTTCGGAGACAAATATTATGTGTTCTTCAAGGATCTAAGCAATTTAAAGAATGTAAATACATACAAATTTTGTGAACTTCAAGTCTAATTAAAAGTACCCATGTTGCTGCTTTGATGATCATGGAGCGGAATTTGCATGATTAAGTTCTCCATTAACTACCATCTTCACAAGTTCGAAATCTAGTATCGTCGTGACGATCGAATTCTGTCAATTCCGACAACATTTCTAACTTTTCTGACATTTCTGATCGAAATGTTGGATCGTGAATGGGCATTTCCACCTTTAATGATTGATCCGATTACACAACTGAACTTTTTAAAGTTGCTACTTCTAGATAGAAATTGACTTCGCATTGCTTTTGTTTAGATGGGAGGATAATTGGAATCTTCTCTCAGGCCTATAACAGAGCGCCGGCTGTGGCAGTAAAAGTTGGACTTTTCTTTTGTATTTCCTTAGTTTCTTAATAAAATCTTGTGCTTAAACCTCGTTAATTATCGTTTTAAAATTAACCGCCTTAATTGTTAAAATTGAGAGGTAACACTAAAAAAGTTTTTTTGTATAACCAGAAAAATCTTTGAGCAGTTTCAGTTGCAAGAACGTTACGAGAATACGGCTTTAATGTTACTACATTGATAATAAAATCAATGTGAAAAACCACATTTTGAGGACAGAAAGGACTTTTAGCGTAAATATTAAATTGAAATTAAATTAATAATAAAAAGGTTTGATCTTACCAGTTCAACCATGTACGTAGCTTAGCCTTCAATAAATCCTCCCTCCATTAGCCAATGAAACATAAAAAGTTAATTATAACAAAACATATTTCGTAAAATTTCATATATTTATAAAAGTGAGAATATAAATTATAAGTCTGAGGCTAAAGACTAGCGAACTATATTGCTCCACATTTTACTAAATTCTTTAATGAAAAAAATTATGGAATATTCACAGCACTCAAATCCGATTCATTTGTTAGGAAGACATGAATTATATACATGGGTTATTTCAGATAAAAAAGCGTGACACTTGAGAACTATTGACTCATTTTGAACTTAATCATATAAATGAAACATCACCAAAGAAGCTTAGATAATGATAATGACAATGTTGACAAATGAAATTTGGAAATAATTTGAATTTTATTTCATTGTAAATTATGTCATGAAAATGTCTTTGAACACTAATTATTCAGCACAAGTGCCGACTAAATTTCTAGAACTTTATGAATCTTATTCCAAAAAAAATGAAAATTTTCATTTGCTTCAACGATCTATAAAATATAGTAAAATAACGGACCGTGCCTAACTATATATCTTATATACTTTATAGAATCGATTCTTAAGGGACTGTCTGTATTTTACGATGCTGAAGAACGAAAGTAGAACAAATAAAGCGAGTTAGATCCTTATCCATATAACTGAAATTCTTTAACAAACCAAAATATACATAAAACCTTTGAGAAATTCGCTTTAATTATCAATCATTTTTCCTAATCATGAAATTTTTTAATTATCGTAATTTAAAAATACATATATAAAATCACGTTAAATAAGATTATTATGCAGGGTAGCTACACTATCTATTAAATATTGATAATTTAAATTATAGAAATTAATTAAAATAATTGATCAAGTTAAGATAATGAATAGACTTCAGGGATAAAATAAAAAATAATATTCATTTACAACAATATAATTAATGAAACCCTCATTCTTACAATTAGCTCATAATAACAAATTTTATTCTCTCGGGAGGTGTCAGCGATATAGAACAAATATTCATGAATATAGATGTGTAGTTAAACCTTTCGTCTCTCATTAAAAATCCTTTAAAAAAGAGTTAATTGGATGGGAAGATTCATAAATGATTACAAATTATCGTATTATGAACAGTTTATGTTTAAATATAAATTTTATCATATTACTATTACCTTTATAAATCGTAATAAAATATATTCAAAAGTTCCAAAGAGAAATTTGTAATAATTGTTTTGCGAATAAGTTTTTGTATTCTGCGTGGCTAATTGCGAAATTTTAATTGAAGTGTTATTATTATGATTATTTTAAGTTTGTTTTTATTTATTTTCAAAATAAATAATATATATATGTTATATAATATTTCAATGAACTAAGAAGGCACGTGAGTTAATACAGTAAAACACTAATATGGGACCTTTGCAATAGAAAACCGAGAAAAATGAGTTAATTCTAAATCTAAACATATTTTGAGCTAAAAAAATCATATTTGGCATATAAAAGTAAATTGATATTTTTCTTTTTCTATTGCAAAGGTCCCATATGATCAAACCTTTTGATTCTCGTTATCATCGCTTTATTGTATTTGTTATACCATTTTGGTCCATAGAACTCAAAAATCGAATTTGCCTGTCTTCATTATTGACTTATTTTTTTTTATGTAATTTTTTACAATGCTTTTTTTCAATTAGCCGATTTTGCATCAATTGTTGTCAGTTAATTAACTGAAATTGGAATTCCAAAAACATAAATTTATATTAATTAAAATAAATTGCTTATTTAGTTTTTTGGCTGATTTGAATGAAATTAAAAAAATTAACGACTCTATAATTAAGATTTGAAAAATTAAGTATTATTATTTATAAAAAGTTAAGTAAAAATAATTTTTATAAAAAAAGAAAAAAAATTTAAAAATTTCTTTTCTTAATAGCCAAGAAATGAAATAATAAGAATGATTAATTACAATTAAACAAAAAACTAGCTAGCTTATCAAATTAATTAAAATATTTCTATAAGTAATTACTTTTTATTTTAAAGATGTCTCTCGGCTTTAAAATAGAATAATTACAAAAAGTAAACTCGTAAAGGTAGAGTTCCTTGCTTCCGCTGTAATAAAAGAATTAAAAGAAAAAAAAAGTGAATTATTTATGTGTGTTCAACGTGTTTAACATGATTATTTTTTGCTTTTTCAAGTTGGATCACTTCGGTCTAAAGTTTAAAATACCCGAAAAAAAAGATAAAATTAAATAAATAAATATAAATAAATAAACATCCAAAAATTTGAAAAATTGAAAAATAAAAAAAAAAGAACTTACTTATTTAAATGACGTAGAATTGGGGTGCGCTGTCAACTAATCAAATCAAAACTATGTATAGTCCTATAACAAAAATTACTATTGAAGATTTTTTTATATTAAGCTATTTTATAGTATAAATTTAAATTATTTTATAATAAATTTACTATTAACGAAGCTATATTTTCTTTCTTTAATAACTCTGGATCCTTATCATTTTCATTTCATATTTTTCGAAAATACTCCAAATATCTGTTTCTTTCACAAAATAGATCGCTTTTTTTTAAAAAAAAATTCATTAATACTCCGAAATTAATAAATTAATAAAATAACCTTTTTTTTACGTGAGTTTTGAAAAAACGAGGTATTTTATGTTTCATAAAGTTATCATGTACCCATTCAACTTTACTGCGTTACTTAAATTTTAATAGAGTACAAGTTATTAAATTTTAAAGATTTCGGTTATTTTATTAGAAAATTGGCTCGCAAAGCCCGAAGTTAAAATGATCGTCAAAAAATTTCTAATAGTGTTTTACTATATATAGTTTTTGTTAAACTATGATCGAAAAACCTAAATGAAAATAAAATAAAATAAAATAAAAAAAGATAAAAAGAATAAAAGAAATAGAGAAAAAAACTAATAAAAAAGAAAAAAAAGAAAACTTACATTCAATCGATACAACAATGAAAAAGTTATAAAATGAAAATCAACAAAGTTTACTTGCGTTATAATTTAAAATTGAATGTCAAAAAAAAGCGATGTCCGACATTATCTCGAAGGCCGTTTTCCCGAAAACTCCGGGCAGAGTTATCATAATGTAGGTCAAACTTTTCGTTAAAACGTCCATTCGGGAAAACGGCCTTCGGGATAACGTACTGTAACCCAATTACTTAAGACTAACTAAAGTCACTTGTGTAGTCAGTTATCACGATCAAAACCTATATGGATACACGATGGAGTTTGAAATTGAAGAACCGAATTTTTATTTAATTTCCCAAGATTGTCAACAGAAACTAATAACTATACAACCAGGTCAAACTTTTGGACTTTTTATATAAAAATTCTAATTCTAACTTTACTATAGATAAGACAATAATTATAAAAATAAGGTATGGTAATATGTAAGATAAAATTAATATAAAGCGAAGAATACATATTTAATATTACATACATGTTTTATATTTGATATTTTTGCTTTTCTACTCTGCCTTTGAAATCGGTTTTATTTATTTTTTTAAAAATAAATTATTTAATAATCCTCCATCCAAAGATTCGTTTTAAATTTGTGGAACGAGAAATAATGAAAGTCATTTCGTTCGAAATGGAAGTCATTTGCTAAAAAGGTCATATGATACGAAAGAGTTTAAACTAGATTGCTGGTCAAATTTGTTGTAAACTTTCTAAATGCTTTTCTAATTTCAGGACTTCTTTTTGTTTGTTTAATAGTGTTTGAAGCTCTTCTTCGGTTAAATTGTTTACAAGAATGGTCTGGTAAGCTTCCGCCTTGGCAATAAATTTATCTCGCTGGGAAGTTTCGTTGATTTGCACGATTTGCTTTTGATTTTCTAAGATTAAGTCAACTACGAGAGAAAAATGGCCCGCTTTGCTTTTTGTTTCAGTAATTAACTGATCCAGCTTCGTGCTTTCATTTCTTACTTGCGGTGTTAATTCTTGGACTTTAAGTCGGAAAATTTCTTTTTTTAGTTTAGTGAAATTATACGAATTATTATTAAAAGCTATATTGGACAATTCGTTCATCTGACTTTGTTGATCATTAATAGTTTGCTGTTTCTGCTGGCTTTGACTTTGTAATGCTTGATTTTCCTGTTGGACATTAGCTAACTGTTTCTCTAACTCTTTAATTCTTTGGGAATTATTATTTTTTTCTTGCTCTAATTGAGTTTGAATTTGCTTATTAAATTGACTTAGCAATCTGTTATTCTCTTGACAACTTTCTCGGATTACTTTGGCAATATATGCATTACCAGGGTCATCACCAATTTTATCTCCACTTCGAGGCAAAAGTACTTTCTGTAAGTTAGGCGTGCCAGCCAAACAAGAAAAATTATCAATGTTAGTACCAAGGAGGCTCATCCAAGTAATTCGGTTCGAATGAGCAAGTTTTAAACTTGTTAATTGAGAGTTGTGTCCTATGTCTACTATGGTTAAATTAGGATAATCTGATAAATCTAAATGTCCTTCTAAATGCTTTTCTACAGCTCTTATTTCGTTAAAATGTTTAGGAAAAATTTGTTCTATATATTCTTGAGCGTTAACCATATTATTATTTTAAAAATTAATATATCAAACAATTTGTTAAAAATAAGTAAAAATAAAGCTTGGAAGAATTGGATTTAATATTTTAAATAATGAGTTGGAGAGATGATTTTTTCGGCTGAATTGCATTACCGTTTATCCTAATTTATTAAATTCTCATGCAAATCAAAAATCTTAACTTTATTAGCGTTAGGTCAACTATAAAATATTGTGTAACTTGATTTTAACCGCACCTGTTTGATTTATCATACAGAATATTTTTCGAAATTGTCTGTGGAGTAATTTGTCACGGAGAGAGGTTTATTTAAACGTCGACCATGATATTACTTTTATTTATCTAAAAATACATTAAAAAAAGTTTATTAATTTATTACTAATTATTTTATATACTTAATTAAATTTCTATTTACTATTATCGTTATTATTATTAATATTAAATATAAAGAACTATTATTAAATGTATTTTCTTTAAAAACGTTGGAAATGAGGAATCAGCTCTTATTTGTTGAATACGAACCCTTTTGTGCAGAATCGTATTGCAAAAAAATATGAGTGTTAGTTTCTTTTTAAAAATATGTAAAGAGCCGAAATAAATCCTTTTGTTTAGGCATATTGGGTTGATTTAATTGATTAACTAAATAAATAAATATTAAATTAATTTACCAGTTTTAGATTGTAATGAGCATTTGCATTAAATTTTTTGACCTAAAATTTCTCAAGGTCGTTCATATATGCCTTGAAAATCATTTTCATTTCAATTTCTTCAATTTTCCATTTAAATGTATTTTATATCTTTCTAGCTATATAACCCAGATTTATCTTGAAAGAATCACTATCACTAGGTTCATTCATTATATTTGAAATTGGCTATAATGAAAAATGTTTTAAAATTTTAAATGAAAATTTTACCTTTATAAAGGATATTGTTTTGGATTTTGGAATAATAAAATAATGCAGTTTTATTGGGATTAAAATGATCTAAAACGAGAAAGAAAAAAAAATTTTAAAATAAAGAAAAAATGTAAAAAAAGTATAAAAATAAAAATATTTTATAATAATCAGGAGGCCGAATAATTATATCGTGAAGTTACTATCAATAAATAAGCATTAGCATTTTCCGACAAAGGTTTCTGTTCAAATTCAAAAGTTCATTTGTAAACTTTCTTTAATTAAAAGACTACTGTTTGTTTTTATAATGCTCGTCATCAGCTAAACTACTTGCAAGAATGATTTAACAAGCTTCCATCTTGGCACTTAATTTATCTCACTAAGAAGTTCGTTATTTTGCACGATTTGCTTTTGGATTTTTATGATTAAGTCAACTATGGAAGAAATATTGTCCCGCTTTGCCTTTTGACTCTGTAATTAATGAATCAACTTCATTTTTCATTTCCTACTTGCAGTGCTAATTCTTGTTCTTAGGCTTTAAGCTGGATAATTTCTTGTTTCAGTTTAGTGAAATTATAAGAACTATTAGGAAAGATTATATTAGACAATATGTTTAAGTTACAGATTTGTTATTGAAGTTGGTTTATCTGACTTTATTGGTTTGTTATTTCTAGCTTTAAAATCTTGAACTTCTTGCTGAAAAATATCACTATTTTTTTTTCTTTCTTGCTCTAATTTGTTTGAATATTTCCTTAGACTGATATGCAATTTGTTTGTCTCTGACAACTTGCTCAGACAAATAGACATTAGTCAACATGTTAATTCACAGATTTTACCAAGTTTATAAAATTTAGTGGACTGGTAATATTGAAATTACCCTTTGGTGACTTATGATGCTTAACATATCTGCAGTATAAAATTTTTTTTTTTGTTGAGGCATAGTTTAATTAATGTATTTCTCAAACTTTTACTGTAACTTTACTATAATGTAATAAATGATATTATCCGTTATTAGGACTGAAGTGATGCTTGAACAGACTTCTAAAATTTAGAGGATAAAATCAAAATTGGAAATTGTGATCCGCTCATCTTATTTTCAAATTATATTATCTTTAACTAATGAGATAGACTCATTCTGTTCTGATCAATCCGATTTATGGTGATAATTAAATGTTAAAAATAATTCTTTGGTCTCAGTTTTGAAAATTGTCTAAAGGTTACTAGAAATGATCTTATTTTCTGGACTATAATTTGTATTTACATCCTTGTTCATTAAACAAAATCAGATTGCTTTTCAATGAACTTTTTTAATCAGTGCCCATAACTGATCTTAATTAGGAATAAATGCACTTTCCATCAAATGATTTCAAGCTGTATTTCACTGTTATATCTAATAACAAATCTATTATAGCAAAAGTGTCTTATATTTTAAATGACGAAATGCGCGCAGTTTGTCATAACCAGATAATCATGTATGCATAATTTGAAGAAAGTCTAGATTGACAGGAACGACTTTATAGGTTTTTTTTATCAAATTGGAAATTCAAAATAAAAGAATTTAGCAGGAATAATGATTTCAAGAACCTTTCAATAAGTTATATGGTTTATGAGCTCTCATTGCTTTTTTCATTGAGATAGAAAGATCATTCAGTTTTGTATCAGTGTGTGAATCTAGAAATTGAAATGATATAATGCTATCGAGCTGATGGCACCAAAAAACCTATATTGCAAAATTTATAATTTTTTTAATTTATAATAAATTATGATAAATATTGATTTATTTCCAGTTACAATTTTCAATCGTAAATATGCTCAAAGAAATTTTTTTTTAATGTAAATGTTCTGATATTTTCACAGATCACAGCCTAAAATGTAAAGATCAATCTTACTAAGTTGCTTCAATTTCAGAAATATTTAAAATTTGATTTAATAATTTTCTGGATTGTCAATTTTAGGTTGAAATTCTCTTATACTTAAATCTTATTGATTAACTTTTTCAGATCTCTTAACGAAATAAAGCTATAAACTCTAGATTATGTCTTTAAACAAATGACATAATAAAATATTATGAAACTTCTCTGTTGATAAAATAATGTACTGAGCTAATTTTTTTTTTTACAATTTCAGAATAAAGCACGGTTATTTGTTTATCAACTAATTTATGTCAAATTTTAATATAATTATATATTTTTAATCATATGCACAATAATGTTGTAAACTTCAATCCTCTAATTTTACTTTAATTTAAAGTCCCTAAAATATAATAAAATAATAAGCACTGTAATATTGTTAAGCTTAAACACTACGTCATTAGGATAACAAAGCTTATTTGCTAACAGAGAGTTTAAGTTGCAAACTATGAAAGAAATAAACACAAATTTATTTAAGTTGAAGGGTCAGGTCGTCTTTATTGATGATTTATGCTTTAAGGAAATAGATATTGGCAAAGATATAGCTTTTGTGTTATTAAGATTATACTTTATTAATTGTACAATAGAAACTTGTTAGTTTGTCAAGGCAATAATACAGGATATTTATATAAAATACAATTATAAGATAGAGATAATAAATATAATAATGAAAGCAAATATAACTATGAAAATAAA